TCTTCTTCTTCTTCTTCTTCTTCTTCTTCTTCTTCTTCATCTTCTTCAGACAGGGTGTCACTAAATTGTTAAGACTGGAGAATCTTCCTGTCTGAGTCACTTGAATTAAAGGTATGCACCACCACACCTGGCTCTTACTTATTTATTTTAATAAAAAGATTTATTTTGGCTCACACTTAGAATTTTAGGGGGAAAAAAAAAGCATAAAATTACCAGGTGTGGCAAACATCTATAATCCTAACTATTCTGGAGGCTGAGGCAGGAGGCTTGCAAGGTTGAGGCTAGTGTGGGAAAATTAGTGAGAGCCTGTCACAAAAATAAGATAAAAAGGGCTGGGGGTGGAGCTCAGAAGTAAAGTGTCCCTAGGTTCAATCCCTCATTATAACAACAACAACAACAACAACAAAAAACAGGGACTCCAGAAGATTGAGGCAGGAGGCTTGCAAGTTTAAGGCCAGCCTTAGCACATTAGCAAGGCCCCAAGCAACTTAGTGAGACCCTGTTTCAAAATAAAAAATAAAAATGGCTGAGAATGTAGCTCAGAGTTAAAGCACCTCTGGGTTCAACCCCTGGTACCCAAACAACAACAACAAAAAAGTGAAAATACACCTATGGAAATAAGTTAATTAAAAAAAAAAAAGAAGAAAGTTTGCCTATGTTTTAAAAACTGACAAATTTCACTAAGAGCAAATGCAAAACACAGCTGGGTGAAGCAGGTGCACACCTGTAATCCCAGCAACTCAGGAGGCTGGGACAGAGAGATCATAAATTTGAGGCCAGCCTCAGCAAATTAGCAAAACCCTGACTCAGAGTGAAAATAAGGGTGAGGGGTGCTGAGGATGAGCTCAGTGATAGAGCACCCAGCCCTAGGAAAAAAGAAAGAAGAAAAGGAATAAGAAGAGAGAGAGAAAAAAAAATGCATGCATATCCTGGTCTTTTCTGGCTCTGGGCCTGACCTGAGCAAGAGCCTCTGAAAAAACAGACCATGGAACGCCACGATGTTCCACAGGGTGGCAGCAGAATCTCAGGCTTTCTCACTGGTATAAATCCAGACTCCTTGCCTCCCTCAATCTGCCCAGGTTAAGGGAGTTCGTGTTTTCAAAATCCTTTGGTCTCTAGTCTGGCGTCTGGAGTCTGTTCCCATCATTCTGCTCTTGCCTCCAACAAAATGAGCAACACTGGTTTGCATTAAAACACCACCGTGGCCAACACAGGCAAACTTTCTGTACTGGAGCCACTTTCCAGAGATAAATCACATCAGGCAATTACTCTGTATACTAGATGTTGTAGGTATTTATTTTGATTCACAAAGCATTTATTTTGATT